AGCACGCCTGCAACGGGACAGCCCGGGTGCGCCTGGGCTGTCCCGCTGCGGGTGTGCTCCACGGCTTTGCTCCCGGTCTCCCTGCAGACCAGAGAGACGGGGAGCAGCTTTTCTTGCCCCGGAGGACGGGGGCGGTGGGACTGCAGCGCATCTGGGCGTCCCGCCGCTCCAGTCCTCCGGAGCGAGAAAATCCCTGTTCGTAACTGCGGATCCGACATAAGTCGGATCCGCGTAACTCGGGGACTGCCTGTATAATCTTTGCTCCACTGAAGTCTAAGGGAGTTTTGCCAGTGATTTCAGTAGGGTCAGGATGTCACTTTCTCTGTAGTGTTTACTGCTGCATCTATTAGCTAGTGTTTCTTGTCAATCTTCCAAAAATTACCAGACAAAATCAGAAGAACTGGAAATCTTCCAACATTGCAGATTAAATGCAACATTAATTTAAAAGAGACAAAATAGTCCCAGGCATAGGGGATAAAGGCAGGACATGAAGTCTCTATCTACATTCTCTAAGAGGGCTCACCTCTCTATCTAGGATTTCTATATTGAGGTATCAGATTCTGAGGTGACCCTGAAGTGTCATAGTCTATTGTACTTACTGAAAGCTCTGTCCCCTGGCAGGCTGATCTAACACAGTTCAAGTCCTACCTAAAAGACAAACATTCATATTTAGCTTTTTTATGTAACTTCCCTTCCGTTTTAGTGTACACAGAGAGAACCAACTAGAGGGTGGGGTACAGTGAACATGAATACTGATAGTGCTCTCAATTGCACAGTAAACGGAAAAATAGGAATGTATTGCGTAATTGAATAATCGTGTAACTGCATGAAATCTTAGTGATTACACAACTATTCAATTGTCCCCAAGGGCAGGGCCAGCAGCCAGTGAGCCCTCTGTCACCCCATGCTGCTGCTTCTATATCAGCAGAAGATGGCAGGCAGGAGCCAGTCCACAAGGGAAGACAGTTTAAAAACCAGCCCCTCACTGCACAGGCCGGCTGCCTGCTGCCCTGCGCTGCTGCCTCTGATACATTGGTAACAGCATGAGGTGGCAGTAGCCCCTGTTCATGGGGTTTGAGCTCCCTGCAGACAGGGGCTGCTGCTGCAGGCCTCTGTGATCAAGCTTGCAAGCCCAGGCTTGCTGTGGACAGAGGTTGCTTTGCAGTCTCCCCTGCCCCTGCCCCATGAGATGGCACAATGGAGCTGGTGCTGGGGAGAGCTGCCTTTTGAGGTAGCACTCCCCCAGCGCTGGCTCCTGCCTGCCAGCTGCTTAAAAGCTGGCTCCCCACATATATCGGCTATGGCGTGCCCCCCTTCCCTCCATGTTGCTGCCTCTCTGTTCCCTGGGCGAGTGAGAGGTGTGAATCAAGTTCCCAACCCCAGACACTGGAGACCAGCACTTTACCCATTAGGCCACTGGAGGATCCACCCCACTGCCCATTGGCCTTCCACTGTGCAGAAACTCAATTTAAGATGTCAACTTCAGCTAAATAATTAATGTAGCTAAAGTTGGGTATCCTATTTCAATCTTATGCTATAGTGTAGACCAGGCTTAAATGGGGTTCTGTGTGTAGTTATTAAAATTGTATATGCCACCCTTACAGAGCAATGTAATGAAATTAATGGGATGTCTCCAGAGTATTAAAGCTTAGCAGCTATACAACTCCTGCCACACATTTCAGATCTTCACAGATTTGCACACAAATTCTGCCACAGAAATTTCAAATCTTTACAGATTTGCCATTTGAGGAGCAAGTAACCATGATTACTTTGGTAATATATAAAGATGTGTGACGTTTTTAAATAGCACTGCATTCCCAGATGGAAAACTGGGTGAGGTCTCGGAGAAACTCAGATCCTTAAATTCAGTAAGTCTTGCCAATAAAATGGAGGAACTGGAACTACTGGTTCAGGTCAAATTAGACATTTTAGGGACTTACAGACACATTGTGAAATAGCAGTTATGACTGGAATAAAAGTCCTGAAGAAGATGTGCTCTTTAGGAGAGTCACAAATAAAGGTAAAATTGGTGGAGGTAGCTTTGTACATCAAAGATCTAGTAAACCCCTCAAAAATACAAAGTAATAGTGTGGACAAAACTGAATCTGATCATGAAAGAAGATCTGTGGTGATAGTGTTAAGGTCTGTTGTAGAACTCCAGGGTTGGAAGGGGATATGGATAGTGTACAGAAATACTGCTACATCTGAAGTTGAAGAAAAATATATAGCTGAATCCAGAGTACTGAAAAATTGGCATGGGAGATTGCTAATCTGATAACCAGGATTTTTAATAATTCTGTCTATCCAGGGATAGTACCAAATGACTGGAAAATAGCGAAAGCCATATGCATATGTAAGGAAGAGGTAGGAGGGGAAAGTGATCCAGGTAATTATAGACCAGTTCGTCTGATCTCAGTAGTATGTAAAGTTTTAGAACAAATTGTGAAAGAATAATTAAATGTATAGAGACAAACATGTTATGCAACATGGTTTTACCAAAGATAGATAGTGCCATAACTAACCTGATTTACTTCTTTGAGAAGTCACCTTTGGGAAGCCTCCATCTGCTATGTGGAGTGTTGACTACTTGCCAGGATCATCGGGATATATGTCAGCTCCCTGTCTTTGCTGATGCCTTGGGCATTGGTACACCTCAGACCTTCAAATTATTTGCCTGTGGTGACATATAATAGTTTAGTCTCTAGTGGGCTGTAATACTTAGCGCTAACTTTCAGTGTTGGTGGCCTGTGATATACAGATTAGACAGGATGATTTGGTGGTCCCTTCCGGCCTTAAATTCCTTGCTTTTGTGACATTCTTCAGTAATTAACACTTCTTTTAATCTAATTTTAGTTTCCTTTTCTTATTCTATATCCTAAATTATGTAAATTATGAATGTTGATAACTATTAGTTTTGATTAGTAAACCACATATTTTGTAGCTGCAACAAATTATTTACTTGACTTGAATTCCATTGTCATGATGTGAAGCAAACAGTTAGCTGTTTGATGCAATCCTGATGATATTTAAAACATGAAAATAAATAGAAAGCACAATAATTAATTTACTGTACAGGCTGAACCTCTGTGGTCCGGGACTCTATGTGGTTCAAGCTCTGGGAGGGAAGGGGAGAAGCAGGGATGCAGTGCAAATCAGCATATTCATGGTGCTCTGAAAGTGCTCGGAGAGAGGTGGAGGAGTAGAAAGTCCGGGACTCCAGTGCCCCAGTGTGCGATAGGTGTGCGGGTGAGGGAGGGAGCAGACAGTGGGTGCGCGGGCCATAGATGGAACCCCAGTCAGCAGCATGCTGCCCACAGGCTGCAGGTTGCTCACCACTGCTGTAAATATTACAAGGGGGCAGATTTGATAAATATGATAGCACTGCCTATAGTTAAGGTTGACCAGTACTTCCCATTATAAGACTGTTTTCAGTTGCTTACAATTTTGCCAAACTTTAACCATTTGGGTTGAAATTTCCCATGGCTGGTCTCTCCTCAGGCTGACACATTTTGGAGGAACTTAAACTAAAATGGTAAATACATTTTGGAGAACATGATTAGGGAGAACAAACAGGCTTACAGTCCATGTTAAAAAAAATTACAAATCTTTGATGAGTCCTAGTACTCCCATCCATCAAGGCCTCAAAATGTGGCCATTATTCTGATGTCAGGGATATACTTTTTGCTGCCCCCCTCCTGAAAAAAACACCCAATCATGGATTATAAGGGAGGGGTGTGTGTATGGATTATAAGGGAGGGGGGTGTGTGTGTGTGTGTGTGTGTGTGTGTGTGTGTGTGTTACCGAGAAAAGGGTTTAACGTTCGTGACTTTACTGCTAGGACTGGGGTCCCATCGCAGAGGGCAGCCAACAGGCTGACAGACGCCCCGAGTTTATAGGAAGAACTTATTACATCTCAGATTTTAGCTGCTAGGATACGGGATCCCTTCGCAGAGGGCAGGCTAGGGAAGACTGAGAGATGCCCCAACGGATCTGTCACCTGAAAGTGACATGATCCAAACGCCCAAGCTCTTCCTATACCTGTCCTTTATGACCAGCTGAAGTTCTTTTGACCGGCTGAAGTTCTTTTAAATTGTGCTTGGTTCTGTTACAGCAACTGAAGGAGTCAGGTTAAAGCTTAAACAGTTACAGGTTTATTAAAGAAGCTTATAAATCATATGGTTACAATGGCTATTGCTCTATTTCTTAACTGCTAGCAAATATAGATCTTAAAAATGGTTACGAAGAAAATAAAGGTAGAAAATAGAAATAATGGTACCAAGTGACAGCTTAATCTTTAAAGAGCTCCAAGTCTATGTGTACACTTAAGACAAAGGACCACATCCAGGTACAATTTTTAACCCCTTCTGTGCCTCTCGACTCCAGCGGGTCAAGCCAGGGCTGGTCCCTCAATTCCTAGAAAAGACGAATACGAGGTGGAACCTCGGGAGGTCAAACACCTAACCCGACCAGCAAATAGATGGTAGATTGACACTCAGAGTAAATGTGCTGCTGGACCCATCGTTATACCCCTGGGGGCCCGTATCCTCTTTCTTATCTTAAGATGCCAAATTGTACTGGTCCGTTTTGTGGCGCCAGTTCTTACAAGGGAGTTTCAAATAATTTATACTTGTAAGAGAGGAAGATAGCTAAATTAGGAGTGCCGGATATTCTTTGCTGGGCGGGAGATTCCTCCCCCCGCGGATGGCTGTGTGTTCGTATCAATATGGGTTTAAGGCAAGGGCACGCTTCTGCAGCCTCTTGGTCAGCAATTGGCATATCTCTGTTTACAGCCATTTATGGTCACTGAGCCTGCATATCCAGGCAAGCAAAAATGGATGTTACAAGGGGGGTTCCTGTCTGGCTACACCTCTGAAAAATCACAGTTCACACATGCCCAGAGACTTAAGAGTTTGGCAGATAAAGTCTTCAAAGATTCCATCTGCACAGAGTATACTCCAACCCAAGCCAGCAGAGCTGATCACAATTTTCCCTTCAAATTATTCCTCATAGCTGTTGTGGTGCCAGATACAAATATAGAAAGTCATGAGACTGTTTTTCCTGTGCTTTCAATGCCCTGATGCTGTCACCCAGGCAGAGGAGGACTTTGCATTGCCTAACTCTAATGCAAAGAGAACAAGACCCAGACTTTGCGAGGGTGGAAGGGGAACAGGACAGGGAGGTTGACTAGCTTGGAAGGATCCATGCCTTGTTCACTGCACAGAATGAACCTGCTCTGGGGAGGAATCAAGGTTGTGTCCAGTGCAGGAAACTGTTGTCTCATTTGTTGCAGAAGTTGGATGGTGTGTACTGAATGAGGAAGGGATGGCAAGAAGAGAAAGGATGTTTTCATAGTAAAGACAATTGAAAGTTGCCTGGGTAACTGGATTTTACTGTTTCTGCAACAGAGTTCATACGTGATGCTGGGCAAGTCATTTCAATCACATTTTTTCCACAAGTTATCACCAGTTGCACACTCCTCAGTTTTTTGGGTGTCCAATTTGAGATGCTGGGATCTGATCTGCAGCAGGGATGTTAGATAGCAAGTAAAAGACTAGTCAAATAACCACATGGATTCTTAGTGATTAGAGGCAGCAGCATGGGGTTGCAGCAGCCTCTGTCCACGGGGGGGGGTCTGGGTTTCATGCAGACAGAGGCTGCTGGAAGGGGAGAGTGGAGGAGCCTGCCCTAGCCTCTATCTGCAGGGAGCTCGGCCTCCCAGCGAACTGCCAGAGCAGCCTCTGTCTGCTGCCAGCCCAGGTCGCCAGGCACAGAGGCTGCTCTGGCAGCAGCTCCTGTCCACAGAGAGCTTGGACCACCTGTGAGCCAAGGATGCTTTGCGACAGCTTTCCCTGCCTCGTTAACTATATCTGTTTAAAATTACACTTTTAGCTAAACCAAGGCAATGTTAGGTGTAGACCAGGCCTTAGATTTACAGTTGCAAAAGTGTATTTCCTTTCAGTCTAAACTCAGATCTAGGAAACCATTGCAACAACTTCATGTATTACTGCTGAAATATATGTAAACAAAGCCATGAATTCCTTATTTCTACAATCAACTTTCTTTTCCCTTGTATTGTGCATCTAAATACAGCACATGCATCAGATTCTTCAAAATCACTTAAACACAAGTTTACCTGCAATTTCAGCAAGATGAATTATATATACCTGAAATCTGTTATCTGATAGAGTTAGTTCAGCATGTGTTTATGAATGTGGTTTTAAGGAATCTCATGAATACCTTGTGCTGTCTGTTGGAAAGGAGTGTGTTGTAATTTCTCAGCATGTTGTTAGTATTTACGTAGTAATAACTTTTCACGTGAGCTGAGATCGATCTGGATATGTTGATGTTGATGTTGCTGTAACTGGATTTCCTATTTCTAGGTTTGTTTAGCTGAGCATAAGGTGTAGCATAAATAATAACTCTTCTCACCACTGTGATGTTTGTTATCCTAAAGTACCACATATAAAGTTCTTTTATCCAGAGATAGAAATGTAGCCGTGTTAGTCTGGTGTAGCTGAAACTGCATAGTCCTGTACTTTGTTTTATCCAGGCTGTCAAGCGCAGTCCTGTACTCACAAACAACACCGGGACCCACCTTTTAACGTAGTTCTGAAACGGTTGCCTCACTGCTTCTGCAGAGGGACTTTGTTATCCGATCCAGGGGAAGACATTTTAGGTCTGTCCTAATCTGGCATGGGGTGGGACAGATGCCCTCTCCATTTGAAATGTCTGGCAGTGAGTCAATAGCTGGCAGAGCCCCCCCATAAAAACGTGTCTCTAGTTATAAAAGGATAAGGTGAAGTATCTTGTCAAAAGGATTAGGCAGCTCCCACCCCAATAGGGGCTCAGATAGGCAGGTAAGGGGGGGTAGACCCCCCCCACACACACACACACACACACTGAATAAGCAAAGACTAATGGGGCAGCCCCCCCCTCCCACACACACACTGCGTAAGGGAGGATTAATGGGAGAGACATGCCCCCCCCCCCACTAGATGAGGAAGGGGACTAATGAGGGGACGGGGTAGGCAGCACCCCACGTGTTCTGCATGGCGGGGAATTAACTGAAGCGTCTCTCGAACCAGGGCGCGCGACAGGAGGTTTTTCCCGCTCCCGAACGAGCTGGGAGAGCGTCGCGAGACCGACACTGTCAGCAACTCGCGGGGCTTGAAGGGCGGGGCTAATTTCCCGCCTTGTCTCGCGCCAGCACCCCCTGTCTAAGATGGCGTCTAAGCTCCGCTGCCTCTCGCGAGAGACCCAGGAGCGTTTGTCCACATCCCGGTCCCTCAAGTCTCGCGCGGCTCTCTTTCCAGCCAATGAGGGTCGAGGTGGGCAGGTGGCGAAGGCTTTCGCCCCCAATGGAAACGTGCGAGGGGCCGGCCTGAACGTCCAGCCAATTGGAATTGGCGTTTGTGGCCCTTGCGCCCTGATTGGCTTGGATGGGGCGTTAATGTTGAGCATCCGTCGCCCAATCAATGGCCTCTCTTAGGAGAGTGGGTGGGAGCTGTTTCTCTGGTAACACTTAGAGCGGGTGAGACGACAGTGCGGGATAACGGGGGGCAGGGATGGAGGGAGTGATGGGTGTTCTGCCTGGGGCCGTACCATTCCTGTGACCCCCCCCCTGCTTAGGGGCTGTGGGTCTGGCAGCAGGGGAATCCTTGTTTGGAAGGCAAACAGGAGAATGGGGAAACTATAATGAGGGGCAGGAGGGGAGCACCCATGGGGGGGGCAGAGCCTGAGGAGCTGCAAATAGGGGGGTTCCACTTGGGAGAATAATGGGGGGAGGGGCAGGGGATCATGGAAGTCTCAGGGAGTGTTAGGGGCAGGAGATATCAGGGGAATAATGCTGGGGGGCCAGAAGGCCATGGAGATACTCCCCATTGGGAAGGACAAGAGACAGTTGGATAGTGGAGGTGGGAGGATGGAGGTTAAAGAGCGGACCCCTTCAAGTTAGGTGCCAGTTATTTCACTTGTCTTTTTCTCTCCTAAATATGCTAGATGGACATTAATTGTGGGAACTCAAGCAACCCTGCCACTGAGTTGCCAAGGATGTAGTAGGGTTTCCTTTCAGAGCCACTGGAAGATTTTGAATCATTAGAAGTTCAGGACCACAAGTTGTGTGCTTGTGTTTACTGCCAGTCCTCCTACTTCTCTGGGGGAGGTATGGGACTAGGATAAAGTTGTTGCATTGCAACAAAGTTTCCCACTCTCTGGGTGAAGGATTAAGGTGGCATTTCCCCATGTGTCATACTTGTTGCAATAGCTTAAGGTTTTGGGAATCGAAGGACACAGTCTAGGGTACCATGGAGCCGTCCTGAATCTGGAAACAGTGACAGGAGCATCCTTCAGGCTGGTTGTTTACCCATATACCTCATAACTATATTATTACAAAGAGTTTCTTTTAGAGCCAAATGTTGGCTACATCTCAGTCATACTTCCCATGTTTTACTGTCAATTTGAATCTGATGTGGTGATTCTTGAACCTGAAACCACATACTGCACACTTGGCACCTAACTGAACCTCTGTTCATGCTGGTATTTTTCCCATGCATAGATTTTTTTTTTTAAGGGCAAACAACCTTGTATGTTTTAATTGTTTGCTTATTTTTCTAAAACTTTTAGCTGCTAAATGCCATGCAAAGGATTCAAAACTGATGAATATGTTGAAGCTCAGTATCAAAGTCTTGATCCAGTCAGCACTGAGCTTGGGTAGGACTCTGGATTCCGACTTTCCTCCTTTGCAACAGTTCTTTGTGGTGATGGAACACTGTCTAAAGCATGGACTGAAAGGTGAGCACCATAGTTCTTTCTTAAATGAATTTTGCTGAAATCCTAAGAATGTTGAGAGGCTGTGGAAATCAATTCAGATTTGCTGTAGTGTTGTTTCACATCCTATTACAATGTAAAATGTTAGTATTTTATCAGCAAAATTCTGTGGAGAAATATTGGAATACAGCTAAGATCAATAGCATTGTCTCTTTACAATCTGATATGTTCTGCATGGGGTCTTTGTCATCTCCTGAATGAGCAATGAACTCCCTATATATACTGAGAACCTGTAAAAAGAAATATATTTTAAGGCTCTCTTGTTGCATTTTTTTTTTCAATTATGGAGTTAAAGAAGGAAGTTTGTCATTTTCCTGTTTATTAATACCACCATATTTCTTCCCTTTTAGCTAAGAAGAGTTTTATTGGTCAGAATAAATCATTTTTTGGTCCTTTGGAGCTGGTGGAGAAACTTTGTCCAGAAGCATCAGACTTAGCAACCAGTGTTAAAAATCTGCCAGAACTGAAGTGAGTTGGAAGACTGGAATAATACAATAATTTGGGTGAAGAAAAATTCCCTCTATAGTCTCTTTCTCTCAGTTGAGGAGAGAGTGTGTAAATACAGCACAAAACTCTTCTTGTTTTTCATGACATCAGTTTTCAACACTTGTATACTCATCCCAACTTTCAAAAGAACTTGTCAGGCTAAAAAAGTACATTACAAATTCCTTACCTGTGCAACAAGTAACCTTTACATTACTCAATATGAAACAGTTTTAAAATTATTTTTAGTGCAGTTTGTCTCCTTTGCTTTTGGATGAAATTAGACAACTTCCAAGTTCTTGAACACTAACAGAATGCTGCAATGGGAAGATTACAAACATTGCAGCAGAATATTTGTGTTTTTAAAAGACTTTGTTTTTATTGGCATTAATAATTATAGAGAATTTTTCTCTTAAGTTTTTGCTATATCTTAAACTTTCTTTGTTTGGGCTGAATTTTCACCAGATGCTTACCATTCACTTAATTACTTCATTTGTTTAATAATTCCTCTATAGTTGTAGAAACACTTCTATTCTCACTTAATTTTTTCATGGGTTTTTGTGCTTGTTTAATAAAATATTTAATATTGCATCTGTATTGTATTCTAGGACAGCAGTAGGAAGAGGAAGGGCTTGGCTTTACCTTGCACTCATGCAAAAGAAACTGGCAGATTATTTGAAAGTACTCTTGGACCACAAAAATCTATTAAGGTAACTATACACCAAATTAAGGTGGTGGTGGTGATGATGATCAATCTTATATAGAAAAAGAAATGTCTGTGCATGTTGGTTTTGAGATAAATTTCCTTTCACTTTTAAGCTTCTCGGGAAGTAAAAACAAAGAATGAGTTAAATTTGAAAAATGCTGGGGACAGTGGATGTAAATGAGCAGAAACTGCATGTCATTTATTAATGAACTGAGTGTTCGTTTTCAATCTTGCTGGACCTATCAAGATTGAATTGAACTAAATAAAATATGCATATAAAATCATGGAATGAAAAAATTATGTGAGGTAGTGACTTAAATAGCAACCTTCTCTTCTGAGTGTTTGTATCTAAGGCTTGAAATAGTAGTTTTACATTGTAAGAGGATGCTGTTGCAGTTCTTCAAAATCCTGTCTGGTGATCTGAGAGAGAACACAACAGTTCTGCAAAATTTCTATGTACTTTCTAAATAGTTTGGAACCTATACAATGAGCGTTTAGATCATACAATGTAATTGTTGCTTTAAAACCTTAGTTTACTGAACAACCAAAATTTCCAATAGTATCCCAAGCACAACATTCCCTAATATGACTTAATCCAAATTGATTAATTACTTAGTACTCAGAAATTAAAAGAATACTGGTATTATTGAAGCAAAACATACCAAATCTTATTCTAAAAACAATGGACAGTGAAGCTTATTTTGCATAATCTTTGTCCTTAAAATGGTAATCTTTCTTTAAACAGAGATTGTAATTCTCTATCTTTTATATAGATAAAGGGTTGGTACTTCCAAGTCCTCAAATGCTGTTTTGTCATAGTTATAATGTTCATATAAAACCTTACATTCCTACAAATGCTAGTGCTTGTGAATCTAACAATTTAATTTTAAAAAAAATCTAGCAACAGAGGCAATGACTTTCACAAGTTAGCAAACAAATGTTTCTTACAGGGGTTCTGCATTTGTTGCCTTCCGGTTTTAAGGTCTAATCTTCCTCTTGTACAGTATATAATAAGGAGCAGATCAGAATACACTAATATAGGGCTACAATACCACTTTATGTAACACTTGTTAAATGCTACTTGTGCTATTGCTGATGTTGGAAACGCAATATGTGACAATTTCCTCTAAACTATTTATTTTAGTGAATTTTATGAACCTGATGCATTGATGATGGAGGAAGAAGGTGCAGTGATTATAGGTCTGCTGGTGGGATTGAATGTTCTTGATGCAAACCTTTGCTTGAAAGGAGAAGATTTGGATTCCCAGGTGAAAACTTTAGTTTTCTATTGTAAAGTCATCTCAAAAGGCTCTAACTTCAGCATATTATTAGGTCCCATTATGCTTAAACACATGCTGAAATGGGATAGTAATGTGCAGATATGATTTGCTAGTTGAATTAATGCTGTCAGAAGCAGATACATTTCTCATAAAATCAAGTAACACAGACAATAAATGAAAATGAATTATTTAAATATACAATTTTGTGAAAAGTAATGCTGTCATTAAACATGCCAGACTATACCTTCTATGTCTGCCTTTAGTAGAAGTTATAGTGGTTTTAATTTTGTATTTACAGCCAGCAAATTAATCCAGCTTGATATTTAGTTCCTAAAAAAAAAAAAAATCACTTTCAAGCTTGAGTCCATATCCTGCTTAACAACAAAGATGGAAGTTTACTGTAGTTTTTATATGACCTTATGTAAACCCCTGCTGAATTATAATTCTAGTATGGATTACTGATGCAATAAAAATTTAAAAACTGATAACATTTCATCAGATCAAGGGCTACTGATGTGAAAAACAAGGCCTATATAGAATATTACAGAGAAATCAAAGTAAGTTTAATACAGAAATTCACAAAACACAGCTTACACTAGGAAACTTACTTCTTATAGTTAGATGGTACCAAATGTATATTGAAAAGTATTTAAGTTCTAGTGCAGAATGGACAAATCTTTTCCTGCACAATTTCAGAAGGTGTGACAAGACTTGCTGGCTACCATGTATTCATTTGTCCTGTTTTCTGAATTACTACTGGCAACTGTTGCCCTGTTCTATGTAGCTCTTAAATAATTGTTCAGTACCTATTCAAGGGAATCATTGCTGAAAGTAACTGTCAGCAATATTCAGTTTCCTAGGATAAAGGACAAGGATAGATTGAATAAAATCCATTGGATATAATTTGTTTCCACTTTGATCTTTTTTTAAATTAAAAAAGGCAAACTTATTTTGCTTTGGAGGATAAAAATTGAATTTCTAAACTTAAACATGTAAATGAAATGTAGTCTTTTAAGCAGTAGTTGCTACCATTATCTAACTTGCATTGTGAAGGTATGTAACTTTTTTAAAATTTGTTTTTATCAGGTTGGAGTGATTGATTTTTCCTTGTACCTTAAGGATATACAGAACAATGATGATTGCAAACAGTATGTATAATGATGTACTATCCCTTATTTATTAATTATTCTTTTTATAGAAAACTCAGAATGTTAAACTGCCGAATCTTTCTTAGTCCTTTGGGGTATGTCTACACTAGCTCGTTAGTTCGAGCTAGGTAGGCAAGTGAGGGCAACTGGAGTTGAAAATGAAGCCTGGGATTTAAATGTCCCGGGCTTCATTTTGCATGTTCCCGGGCGCCGCCATTTTTAAATCCCCCTTAGTCCAAACTCTGTGCCCGCAGCTACACGCGGCACGGAGTAGGTAATTCGAATTAGAGATCCTAATTTGAACTACCGTTACTCCTCGTGGAATCTCTAATTCAAACTACTTACTCCGTGCTGCGTATAGCCGCGGGCACGGAGTTTGGACTAAGGGGGATTTAAAAATGGCGGCACCTGGGAACATGCAAATGAAGCCTGGGATATTTAAATCCCGGGCTTCATTTGCAACTCTGATTGCCCTCATTTGCCTACCTAGCTCGAACTAACGAGCTAATGTAGACCTACCCTTGGAGTGCATCAGTATTGGAGATATATTGAACAGGATAAGAGTTAATGCCCTGAGCTCGGGGCCCCCATAGTCCTTAAAATAGAATGATCTGAGTATTGAGGGGTCCAGTGCATTAAATTCCTTAAGGGAACATCTGATTTCCTTGGTGACTCTCTTCACTGGGTGGAAAAGGATGTTAGAGTTTAATCAATTAACCAATAAACTGATGCTCGTTGGTTAGTGCTTTTGGTTAAACTCTACCCTGCTCCCATGGAGGCATCTTTGCTGCGGGCTCTGCTTATTTAAGCTTCATACTGCAGAGCCCACAGTGCGTGTAACAAAATAAAAAAAAATATCTTAAAATGGTTACATGGTTACTTTAGTAAATGTCCTTTAACATCCCTAGAATGGCTGTGTGGGTGGGTGAAGGGCATTCAGAAGAAGCTTTCTACTTCTTTCTGATTACAATGTTGGTTGCATGATATGAAAGAGACAAAGTTGATGTGGCAATATATTTTATTGAACCAACTTGTTTGGTGAAGAAGACAAGCTTTCAAGCTCCAAAGACCTAGAGAATTCTATGGAAATTTAAAGTCTGTTTCTTTCACCAACAGAGGTTGTTCCAAAAGAAGATGTTACTTTTTGAACCTTTTTACCACTTGATTCACAGTAAAACAGCATCATAATTATAGTATTTAAAACGTTAATGGAAACATTACTTTGTTTTTATATTATCGAACATAGAAAGATAACTACATTTTCCCCTACACTCTATGGACATTTTCACACAGTTGAACAAAGGGGAGACATCTACAAAAATTGGAAAAAAGTCAATGTAAAAATGGTTTCTAGATGAACTAGGGGCAGATGCTGCATCTGTAAGGCACTTTGAAAGTGACTAGATTTTAAGTTGACATTGTTATTTAACTGTTGCTATGTCTTCACATCTTTAGAATGAGTTCATTTGTTTTTCCCTTTTACCTCTTAGAGCAAATGCAGGTGGTTGCTATGCCCAAAATGTTACGTATTTTTACTTCTCTTAACATTTCCTAAGATTAAATTAGTTTGCCTCCTTGCCCCTTACAGCTTGAATTATAAAGGCATCATCTGTTACATACTTAAATACCTAGCTCTTTGTTTATTTTCTAACTTTTTCCATTATGTCTGGTTAACTGAAATCTCTCATTGTCACTGGATACCCTGTTAGCATCAGCATCCCTAAATTTGCTCTAAAGAACATTCTCATTTGGAATGTATATGGGTTTGGTAACTAACTCCTATCCTTGAAATTTCTGGTGGCATTCTATTGTTTCCTTTTTTTTTTTTTTTTTTGTTTTTTTAAAGAGAGAGAGAGAGAGAGATTTTATTCACTCTTTCTCTCTCCTCTTTTTTGGCTTATAGTGTTACTACTTTACTCCTTCACGCTTCTGTATTTCCTCAAGAATATGACCTACTTTGTCAGTGCACTTAAGATAAACTAATACTAAAGCCTGGTACGGAGGTTGTTAAATAAGAGGAGTGTCCAGTTAACAGTGTAAAAAGTGCGTAGTGTTCAGTACAGAGTAACACTTAAATGAATACACTTTTAAAAATTGTTTAATCTTTAAAAATTAGAGATGCAGGGATGACTGCTGTGCTTGACCAGAAGCATTATGTGGAAGAACTTAACCGTCATCTAAGGTAAGATTTGTCTGTCTGAATGTGCAAACATTCATTCTGTTTTCATTTTTCCACTGTGACTTTCTCTGTGCCATTCCTATAACTTTTTTTTCTAGAAGTTACTTAAAAATGTCTACATTAAATCAGGGGTGGGGAACCATTTTTTGGGTTAGGGGCCTCTGACCCACAGTAAAATCAGTCAGTGGGCTGCACACAAGTGAGAAGGGGGGGAGCCAAAAAACAGCCCCCCACACTAACGTGGCCCCTGACTATGAGAAGGAGAAAGACATTCCTCTCATACACCAGAGCCTGGGGGGTGGGATGAGGTTAGTATGTGTGCTCCAGCCTCACAGAGGGGATGACCCCTGAGCCTCAAGGACCAGATCCAGACAAGCTGGGGACCACCTCTGGCCCACAGGCCTGAGGTTCCCCCATTGGGGTTGCCAGGTGTCCAGTATTTGTGGCTTTTGTCCAATTTAAAAAAAACCAAACAAAGTACCTGACATGTAAAATGTCCAGTATTTTCTATTTTTCTTGGACGGAAGGCCGCTTGGGACATTCCTCCCCTGCCACAACTGGTGGGAGTGAGGAGATTTAAAGGCGCAGTGACTTTTTTTTTTCTCTCCCTCCCCCCCTCTCCCCTCCCTGCCATGTTCAGTATTTTTTGTGAAAGTATCTGGCAACCGTATCCCCAGCCCTGCATTGAATGATTATGATTCTTTTCACAATACGTGAATTTCCAAAGGAAACTTAATTTCTCATCAGTTGTGAAATCATCTTCTTCTTCTTTGGATATTTTAGAACAAGTCTCTTTCAGCTTTGTACTTAGTACTCCACAGTCTCCAAATGAAAGCGATATTAATATTAATTAATATTACTGAGATACAATTTTAAAAAAAGGAATCTTGTTCAGTTTGATCATTTTATACAAAAAAAATCAGTTGCCTAAACTTTTGTGATCAGAAGATGGAACTATAACTGTGTGGATTCAAAATTATTTATCATACTCTTATTTCTAAATATATTCTGGCACTTATTACAATCTTAGCGGTGATTTTTTTTTTTTTAAATGAAAATGCATAGTAGAAGTATCCAAGACTGAATCTGCATAACAAACGCAACTTTGGTGGAAAATCTAGAGAAGCTCTAATCATTCTGCTGTGAGCATCCCTCCTACAAATTAAACTTCTTTTTTGTATTCAGTGTATTGACTTCTTGGATGGCCATATGCATTTTTAAAACATTAACTAGAGAAAAGTAGTGGGTTTTTTTAAATATTTTTTGCTTTTTTCAGGCATTTTTGCTTACCTTGTTAAAAATCAATACCCTGCAATTTATTCAATGTATTTATATGTATGTTTTATTAATAACTTTATTAGAATTTTATCTATTTTTTACTTTAACATTGACAACACACTAAATTAATTTTTCCATAGCTTGTTTTGTAACTGTGCCTCTTGCTTCAAATGTTTTTAGCATGACTAGTTTACACTTGTTTAAACAAAATTCTTATCTTTCCAGCCACACCTATACCAGTACTTTCTCTTTAATCTGCACACTATATTGCTATTCAACAACTTCAGTGACGGAGCAAAATAAGTGTTGATTACTTCCATTTTAGAAATGACTGAAATCTCAGTAATGTTGCAGAATATATTCAGGTTTCTTAGCCAGTACTTTTTGCTTTTTTCTCAGACTTCATGTAAACAGACTGCACCAAACTTAATCTTATCCTAATCTAAAATGTGAACTGACTTACTTTTGCAAAAGAAAGCTAGTATTACTGTTCTAGATGTTAAAAATAAATTATACAATAAGCAAGAATACTTGTAGAAATATGAACAGAGCATTGTGGGTAGGCTGGAGAGGAAATCCAGTGATATATCTTCATTTTAACTATGACACTTTGCAGCTCTTCAGAATTACAATGAGCAGTATTTTTAACTCTTCTGACTAAATCAAGGATTACAGCTGACCTTGGGATTTTATCAGTGGTTAAACTCTGACAAATAGTTCTGTTAAAGATTTATTTTGAAGCAGGGCAATAGTCCTTGATCCAGCTGTGTCTATGGGAGACAACTGACTGGTACTACACGTGCTTAAAGTTAGTTGCTTTTGAGTGCTTTGCTGGATTGGTTCCACCAAGATAGCCCTAAATTCTTTTTCTGGGTGCATAATCTCTACCACTGGTCCCCACCAGAGATCTCCACCATAATTAAAAGTTAATTATTTGTTTTCTATTGCAACTTGAAATAATCCCCTGTAGATAATGAGATTATCCATATTGAAATACAGGTAATCTCATTGGGCACATCTATATAGTATGGCTAAAGCCAAAATAAGCTGCACAACCTCAGCTACATCAATAGCTTATTTCAGCCTTTGGCACTGTATATGCAGCAGGAAGTCTGTTAGAGCATTCTTTCTCCAGCTTCCCTTATTACTTGTAAAATGAGGGTTACAGTTCAACATTATTTCACCATTATGTCGAAATAACTGCTTCCTGTGTAGATGCGGACTATTTCAGAATAACGTTAGTTACAGTGAACCCTCGTTTATCGCGGTAGATAGGTTCCAAACCCGACCGCGATTGCTGAAAATCCGCGAAGTAGGGACACCATATGTACGTACTGTAAATAGAAACCGATAGGTCCCCCCACCCCCTACAAAGTTTCCCCTGTGATTAGCCTATACTGTATTGTAATTCCATATCATTCTTTAATGCTGCACAAAAGCCATCTGTAATGACGAATGATATGAAAGTATAAAGACAATAGGCAAGCACGATATGATACGGATATAAAAAAAGTCCGCGAAGTCATGAATCCGCGATGGTCGAACCGCTGTATTCCAAAAAAACTCTGTGTAGACATAGCCATTGTATGTACTTTTTCCACTTGACATTCCATTATCTACTGGTTACCTGTTAATTAAATGTTTGTGTCCGTAGGCTCAGATACATTACGTCAAAATCCAGATAATCTGGTAATTCAAAATCCGCACCATTTAAAAACTAAATAAAACTAGTACTATATAATTTTGTATGTGGTGCCATTTGTACAGGCTCTGTATTAGAAAAATACCAAGAAACTAAACATTTTACTAATGTAAGATGTGAGGACTAAAATATTTAAAATAGCAGAAAAGCCACTCTTTGACTTGGAAAATAACTTAGGTGTATGTTGGGGTTTTATGATTCTTTTCAAACTCAGACCCAAATACTGGACCATGCTCTGGTCCCTTTTTCACAGCTTTAGATCCATAAAGGTGCGGGAACCCAGGTATATCTGCAGCAGAACATGATTCAAGGCCACCGTAACTCAGAGCAGCCAGCTCAGAATGGGGCCTGAGAAATGAATGCAGTATGCTAATTGTAGGAGACTATTGATTGTTCCAAATATATGTCTTTGCAAGTTGATGATGATTTTTCTCTTTCTTCCTCACACCTTGTGAAAGAAGTAGTTGTCACATGCAGAGGCTAGGTTCCAGCTTGAATTTTTCATTCTTTTTACTTAAAACCAAATGTAATTTTTTGCCACAGTTGTACAGTTGGTGATCTTCAGAGCAAGATAGACTGTTTAGAAAAGACCAATTCAAAACTCCAGGAAGAGGTTGGTGGCTAATTTTATCTTTTTTAAAATACAAATGTGTTCTACAGTTAACTGAGAGAGTTTCATTATTACATCCCTAAAAAGAAAAGGAGAGTTTTGCTACTTATTTCTGTTGGTCCAGAGTTTCACCTGACATCTGGAATGCATTTCATGCTTGAGAAATGTGGGGGCTAATGGGACTAGCTTGAGTCAGAACACCATGAAAGCTTTCTCTCGTACAATAGCCATGGTGAAAAATGTGGTATAAAGACCTAGAAAGTTTTGGTTAATATATGTGGTGATGCAAGAAGACTCCTTGTTATACCAGAGATTTCAAGATGTCTGCAGACTGCTCTGTCCAAGTGTTCTTATAAAGCTTTTTTTCTAAACAAACAAACAAAAATCCAAACTTCTCCAATAATGAAGAGGCATTAAATATCTCATTCAACTTGCTCTTCAAAATGTTTCTCTCCATAGTCACATCAACAGGACCTAACTCTGTCTGCACATGTTCTCATTTCCTATCTAAAACTGAGAAGAAAAACTAAAGCAAAAATGAAACAATGGAGGGGGGGAGGTTTCACACTTCAGTTTCCAACCAAAGAAACATTTGCCAATAACAATAAGATTCCCACCTTACTACAGTTCTCAACCTATGTGATCATTTAAAATAATCTTAGTGTGATTTCACACTTTTCATTGCATTCTGCAAAGTATACCCTCTATCCCTGCTGGAGATATGACTGTGACAGCTCTGCCATCCACTCAAAGCATGTTGGGTCTAATGTCCGTGTGGCTTTATATTTCATTTCTGAGCATCCTAAAGATAATTATGTTGACAACCCATGATAGCCCTAATCTTGCACATCCCAAAGCTATGTATGATTAAAATAATGCAGCTCCTATGTTCTGTGCCAGAATTCAATCTGGTGTTTCCCGATGAGAAGTAAATGTAGTAACTCACCAAATTAAATAGCCCCTTAATAATGTAAAGCTTAGCAGGCACTAGTATTGTTTCAGTTAGCTGTATTATGAAACATACTGTACTAACTCTTATTTCTAACTATTTTAACTTGTGTGTTTAAATCTCATCCAGATTCTGTGCTCTTGTCTGTTTTTAATCACTACAGACTGGTGATTTTTTTTTTTCTTTCACCAGCTTGCAGCAGCAACTGATCGGATTGGTTCACTTCAGGAAGAACAGCAACAGTTAAAACATCAAAATGAATTCATTCGTGAGCAGAGTGAAAAGAGTGTGGAGGTTGGACACCCAATTAAGAATATGGAAATATTTTAAGACAGGAAGCCCTCTTTAGTATTATAGAACCATTGTAATTATAATACTGTTAGTATGCAGCACATTGGTATTGAACATGGTCTTTCTGTTTAAAAATTTGCTTTTCGTATGATATACATTTTTAAAAATGTTAGTATCTAGTGTACAATATGTAGAGGTAGGCTGCAAAGGCGTGGGTAGGGTTTTTTTTGGGGGGGGGGTTGTTTGTTTTTTTGAGAACTGAATTATCTTCAAAAGTCCTGTACTGTAAAAACCTTCATACTAATATTTATTTTTGAGAATTCATTTTAATATTGACCATTTTATTAGATGTAGGATCAATTCTGTGCAATCACAGGAAATAATTTTCTATTAAAAGAATGAATAAAAATATTTATGGTGCATAACCAAACTACAAGCAAACTTCAAAACTACCTTTGCCTAATGTTTCATGTAGGTAACCATACAGGATACAAAAATAGAACTGGATACCTATAAACAGTCGCGCCAAGGTCTGGATGAAATGTACAGTGATGTCTGGAAGCAGCTAAAAGAGGAAAAAAGAATTAGGATGGTGAGGACCCTACCTGGCAGCGGGTGAAGTGAGATGGGGGTGGGGGAGAGGGGGTTATCTTAATTTTTAGTGCTGTAACATTCTAAGCATGTAATACAGGAAGTGCTATGGATTACTTGAATCTAGGCTCATTGCTGCACAGTAGATTTTTCAAGCATCTCTCATAGCTCAAATAGGTGGACAGCAAACAGTCCATTTAAAAAAAAACACAAAGAATACAATCCTCCTCTCTTGTGTGCCGTACCAATATAGCTGCTAGGTAAAGACTGTTTCAATGAATACTGTATTTTTGACTATTTTTTTTTTAACTGTCACTGTAAGAAAACAAACTGTCATTTTCTTTGCAGTCTTGCATTGTGGCGACTTACAACAATCAGCTCTCAGGTGGAGCATTTTCTCAGCAGTTATGGATTGGCTGGATTAAGACTTTCAGCTCCTCTAGCCAGTTTTTACCTAGCAAGAAATACCCAGAATGGAAAAGACAGACTTAAACATTCAGTCCTACCTTCTAGAGAAGGACTGCAAATAAAATAAAATAGAAGAATGCTGATAGCTACAATATACTGTGTGCTGCTTTTTTTTTCTTGCCATTCTTACTTACTCATGTTGTATTATTTGCACTGTCTGTCTCTTTACATATAATAACTCAACATCGTTCCTTGAACATAATGCACAAACAAGTTTTATATAGGTTTAGCACGATAGAAATTTCTTACATATGTTATGTGCCCTAAATAGCAATAACTAGGAAATCTCCTTCTAAGGAACTCGAGAAAGAGCTGGAGCTGCAGATTGGAATGAAAACAGAAATGGAAATTGCCATGAAACTTCTGGAAAAAGATACTCATGAAAAACAAGACACTTTGGTAGCTCTTCGCCAACAACTGGAAGAAGTTAAAGCTATTAATTTGCAGATGTTTCACAAATCTCAGGTAAACCTATCAAATTTATAGACAGAGAGAAATAAAAATGTTTTGGTATTTGGTTAACGTAAACATTCTTTGTTGCAAGTGTATGATTCTTTGTTACAAACTCATATGTGTTGTATCATTATGTGTTGGATAGTTTTACTGTCCAATAATCCACTGAGGAGGTCCTTCCCTAACACCTGTCTGAACTTTGCTTCCACAGCTTTCTCTTCCCACACGTTCTGCATTTTTATTGTAGATTAAATAGGCTTTGCTGTAAATTCCCTTTTGGAATACCATTTGATACCCTCAAGGGAATGAACTAAAGATCATCAATTTCTTGCACAGGGGGAGAATAGGGTCTCAGGAATCCTGATTATTGGTCCTCTGTTCAAGCCACTAGACTGCTTACATATCAGTTGCTTAGAGCAGATGGGCCATAAGATCAAACTGGTGATGGGAGTTACTTGCATTCTGCAGGATGGAAAAATAGAATCCCCTAGATTCTGTTCCCTAGGCTATGTCTAGACTGCAGGCTTCTTTCGAAAGAGGCTCTTTCGAAAGCATCTTTCGAAAGAGAGCGTCTAGACTGCACGGAGAAATTTCGAAAAAGCGGCTTGCTTTTTCGAAAGAAAGCATCCAGTGAGTCTGGATGCTCTCTTTTGAAGAAGCCCTATTTACATTGAAGAACGCCTTCTTTCGAAAGAGGAACTTTCGAAAGAAGGCGTTCTTCCTCGTGAAATGAGGTTTACTGCCATCGAAAGAAAAGCCGCGTTCTTTCGAATTAATTTCGAAAGAACGCGGCTTGAGTCTGGACGCAGGGGAAGTTTTTTCGAAAAAAGGCTACTTTTTTCGAAAAAACCCCTGAGTCTGGACACAGCCCTAGTGTCTCACAGGAAGTCAGTGAGAGATTAGGAAAGTAATTTACTTCCTGTTTCCTCCAAAATGGATAGAATATTAATCTAACTTGGCAGTATTATGAAGATTCCCTGATGTCTGTAAAACAATTGTAAATACATACTAAGATAATACTAAGGTACTATGGAAGTGTAATTTAGCCAACAAAAATTTGCCCTTGCAAATGAATATTTGCATACATAGTTGAATAACAGTGGGTTCTAGTCACTATAGTGAAGTACTTTTTAGTTCATCTATTCATTTCATTTTTCAGTTGTACCTATATTTTCACCACTTTGTGTATCTTCATTTACTTTTACTTCCAAAGTTACATATACGTCTTCCTGTTGTGGTCTCACATTTGCCCTTGCTTGTCCTGTCTCAGCTTCTGTATGTGCATCTTCACTTCCTTTTTTTTTTTTTTTTTTTTAGCACCATCACTGATGTCTTTAACTTACCCTCCAAGTTCACCCAACCCAATCGCTTCACTTTTTAGAAATACACACTTAGAGGAAGAGAAGCTTTTGATTACTTTGAATTTTGAAGTAAGAGAATAGTCCATCTGCTCCCGTGTATCTTCTGTTGAAATACTATGGTCTAACTAATGGTTTTTCTCATCCTAACCAAGTAGTTCTTTAAAAATGGTGTTGCTTGGGTTTTTTCACTTCTCCTTTATCACAGATTTGCATATGTTAAGTGACTGACTGTTAGCTTCCAAAGAGGAAACTGGAATGTTCCTCTTTTGCTTTTTAACTTTAATGCTATTTCAACTGGTGCTCGTGATAAAAGGCAAACACTGACTCAAGATCTTTGAATAAGTCCTATAGTCATATCTTTTTTTTTTCCTTTGCTTAGCTTTTTTTTTTTTTTTAAGGTGTCAACAGTAGTTTTATATACCCTTAATTCCCCTTAGCTTCTAATATAACCCTTTAATTACTGTCACCTTCCTTTCCTCCCAACCTATAATGTTCCCAATCCTCCATTGTTATCTCTTCCACCTTAAGTTACTTGATCCAAGAACCCTTCTTATGCCAGCTTCCTGACCTTTGCTCTCCCATTACTCCCTCTCTAGGACTACATTTATATTACTGCAGAAAGTCAACTTAAGGTATACAATTTCAGCTACTCCTAGTCTACACTAGGACCTTAGTCCGAAATTAGTCCTCCCCAGGCTGGTGGGTGGGGTTTTTTTTTGTTTGTTTTTTGGGGGGGGTAAGTGATGCATCAATGCTGCCAAGCCCATTATTGCAAAATAAGGAGCTGTGGAATTCGAATTCTGTAGTCTTGCTTTCCATGAGGAATAACGCTATTCCTGACCTTATAAGTTTGACATAACGTTAAGTGTGGATGCTCCAGGGCCGCTAATTTGAACTGATTGGCTTTCAGGAGGCCTCCTGCACCTCCCCAGAGTGCTTCCTGGGGCTCTGAGTCCGAGATAGCACATCCACATTAATGGAGCCTGCCTCAGACTAATTTGATTCTTTCCTGTAGTGAGCACACACAACTTCAACTTCTGGGCACCTTATTTTACAAATGTGAACTTTAGTAAATTCAAAATAATTTCCTAGTGTAGACATGGCCCTACTGAATAATGTAGCTAGAGTCAACATACCTTAAGTCGAGTTACCGTGGGGGGTCAACAGGAGAAACTCTTCTTGTCCAAGTCTTTAGAGCTGCTTAATTGCCAGTGGATCCCCGCGGCAATGTAGATATAGCCTAACTCTTCAAAGAAGAGAACACCTAGTACATCTTGCCTTTTTCAGTTTTCTTATAAGTGCATCAAATTCTTCAAAATATCATTGTTTTTGTGTGTGGGGGGGGTGTTTGGTTTTTTGTTTGTTTGTTTGTTATGTATGGGGGGGTGTTTGGGGTTTTTTTTTGTTTTGTTTTTTCCCTTTCTCAAGCACTAAACTCTGGCCCTAAACTTGTTGTTTTGGTTATACTTTGGAATATTAAAGAATACTTTGTGAAATTTATCTGTTCAAATTTCTTCCTACAGAATTCAGAGAGTTCACTGCAACAGAAAAAAGAAGCAATATCTTCTATTGAAGGAAAAACAAATCAGATGATGTCTACGATGAAACAAATGGAAGAGAGGTAATATTTACTGGCCCTTCATGCCTCCCCACCAACTCCACCCCTGTCTTGAGGCAGAGCTGTCAGCATAACACTTTCTTTTGCCTTCAAATAGATGTACTTACATCATGAAGGCCAAACTCTAGGCACTTCTCACACGATCCCCATAGAGTGTAAATATAAATGTATAGAAATACAGGTTGAACCTCCTAAACCCAGGACTCTGGTCTGACAACATCTGTGGTCCGGCAGGATCATGGATGTTGCCGGTCCAGAGACTCCTGGCACCCAGGAGTGTGAGCCAGTTGGGAGTCCAGCAGTGGGGAGCCTCTCCATTGGGACCAGCGAGCCCCAGCCGTGTGCAGCAGAGCAGCTGCAGAGCCCTGACCTGGTGCAGCAGGACAGCCATGGAGCCCCATCTTCGGGGAAGCCCCAGCCAGGTGCAGCAGCAGTGGGGCAGCCACGAAGCCCAGTCCCTGGGAAATCCTAGCTGGGCAGGACTGAAGTGGAGCCACAACAGCTAAGGAGTTCTGTCTCGGGAGAGCCCCAGGCAGCAGCGGGCCGGAGCCAAGCCCAAGCCCCGTAGCAGCAGGGCTGAAGTGGAGCCAGCCAGAGGGAGGGGGCAGGGTCTTGGGAGGCCAGTGGCAAGGGATCTCCCCTCATTTGGGACGGCTCAAATCCTGAGGGTGCCGGATCAGGAAGGCCCAACCTGTATAAAACTTACGCAGTTACTCTCCTTATTTGCCATACCCATATATTAAGAGAAGCGCTAATGGGTCTGACACACTCTGCTGCCTGCCTCTGTCCTCATAGGCTGCCTCCCTGGTCCAGCTTCACAGCTTTCCTCCTCCCGAGCTCCAGTCTTTGCAGAAATTGCCAGTCAGTCTGTGACAGGCCACATTGATGCATTAGAATAATAAGACTATTCTGATGGATGAGAACAGGGAAACTAGGTAATAGAGACCAGTGTGATGGGGGAGGGGGGTTCCCAGTGGCTGTCTCAACAGACCCACTTCTGCCCACATTTCACAGCAGTATGTGCTAAATTTCCCCCCCTCCACTGCCTCCCATCCCCCCAAACTTTGCATAGCTTCCAGCCATTCACACCACACCATCCTCTGCCCTATGTGTCAAGGTCTCCTGCTGACCTCCCTCTTTCTCTTTCTGCCCCTATACATGTAGATCTGGCCCACAACACATACTGCATGTGTAATGTATTCTGCATACACTCAGTTAAGGCATGCCCACTACCTCTGTGGATGAGCTAGAGCTTTAAATGTCCTATTGCTGTGCATACTCCTTTTCAGTTGCACCCATTTTTATACAGTGATACAATAGAATATTTAAAAAGTATCGTGTGTACTCAAAAATATTTTGTGCATTGATTATAATAAATGCACCACCCATCTTTTTTTTTGTTTTAAGATTGCAGCAGGCAGAACAGGCTAAGCAGATAGTAGAAGGTAAAAACAAGAAGATGAAGCAAGAGTTTGATGGCAGAATTGAGACGCTTCAGCAACAACTCTCACAGCTGGACAGTCAATGGTACTTTGCTTACTTCTGTAATATTTTAATATAAAGAAGATGAAAGACGTTGAATTTTTTTAAGATTTATGTTTCTTCTCTATCAGTGGTAAAGAGTAATAATTTACCATCCATGAAGAACTATTTATTTGCAATCATTAACTTTATGTATGTACACAGGTAAGATGCTGAATGGATGCTTTAATAATAGATTAAACCTGCATCTTTGCCTCTTTAATAACAAAAGGCTATGAACGACTAACTTCTTTCCCATCAGGGAGTGTGCTAGTTCTTCTGCAGATAAATACCTGACCCAAAAGGCTTACAGACTTAATGGGAATCATTCAGACAAAAGAATGGGAAAGGGTACATTAGGATGTTTTTGAGCATTCCAGGTGTTTTAACAAGTGTAATTCATATAATAATGCACTTAATGGAGGCATCTGTTATAGTAACTTCAGGTTTTTGAGCATAAGGGATCAATGTCGCACCAAATGCTATGTGCTAAATCAGGGCTGGGCAGGATGTGGCCCGGGGACCAGATCCAGCCTGCCTTGCATTTTGATCTGACCCACAGACTGCATCTGGCCATTTTCTATTATTATCTTGCTGCCCGTGCTGCTGAATTTCCAGGCAGCCGCTCAGGCAACAGGACCCTATTTAAATGATGCATGGTTCTCAGGAACGACGCAACTGATAAGATGGGGTCATAATTCAAAATGATCTGGACAAACTGGAGAAATGGTGTGAGGTAAAGAGGATTAAGTTTAATAAGCACAAATGCAAAGGACTCCACTTAAGGAAGAACAATGAGTTTCACACATACAGAATGGGAAGTGATGGTCTAGGAAGGAGTACTGCAGAAAGGGATCTAGGAGTCCTAGTGGACCATAAGCTAAATACGAGTCAACAGTGTGACATTGTGTTGCAAAAAAAGCAAACATGATTCTGGGGTGCATTAAGAGGAGTGTTGTGAGTAAGACACCAGAAGTCATTCTTCCGCTCTACTCTGCGTTGATTACTCAGTTGGAGGATTGTGTCCAGTTGTGGGCACCACATTTCAAGAAAGATGTGGAGAAACTGGAGAAGGTCCAGAGAAGAGCAACAAAAATGATTCAAGGCCTAGAAAACATGAGCTATGAGGAAAGGATGAAGGAATTGGGCTTGTTTAATTTGGAAAAGAGAAGACGGTCTGTTACTCACTTTAGTATTCAAGTACCAAACTGTCTAGTATTAAGATATTGTTGGCGGCTATACTTGATTGCTGAATAATGCTGAAGATTTTTGTAAAGCTCTAAGAACATGTGAATACCAAGTTGTTCCACATTGTTTTTCCATTCAAGACTATCTAGAGGAGGAACATGCTATAAACAGAGGAAAGTGAGAATTCTTTATCTCATCACATTCAGCTAATTGATTTTTCTAAGGTCATTCTGAATTCTAGATCTTCCCTGATACAAAGGAATGCTATATACCAGGGGTGTCCAAACTTTTTTCAAAGAGGGCCAGATTTGATGAAGTGAACATGCGTGAGGGCCGACCATTTTGCCTGACATTCTTTGAACCATTAAAATTAAATGCAAATTAACTATTTTATGCAAAGTTTATTGCAAACGGCATACTTTTCATTTCGTCACATGGATGACAAATCTAAACAGGTGTTAAATCACTCTGCCTTTCATATCTGAAGGCCAGATGAAAAAAAAATCCAGGAAGCTGAAATATATGTCAGGAACATTGTAAAGTACATTACATATTATTGGTAATAAAGGTTGTCTGTCAACTTTTAAGTTCAAAAAATATGAACAGGAACATAACACCAAGTATACATGTTGTGTCCAAATATATTTATAACTGATTTAGACCAACTGACATTAACTGAGATTTTACAATGTATTCATCTCAATACATATGGATTCGTTGGGGGCCATAAAAGATAGATATTGCCAAATTACCTGGGGGGGCCGTATTAAACCAGAACACGGGCCACAATTGGCCCGCGGGCTGGACTTTGGACATGCCTGATCTAGACCATGCTTGGTCCTGCCGTGAAAGCAGGGGACTGGACTTGGTTCTCTCGAGGTCCCTTCCAGTTCTAGTATTTTGTGATACCCTGACAGGAGCCAGAGCCATGAGCCCTTTAGTCACAGCAACCCCAGGCAGCTGCCAGGCAACAAGGAAAGTAGTAGGCCCATGAGCCCTTTGCTGTGTTTTTACATTCAAAGCCTCCAGACCCAGATAACTCTGAGGGGAGGCTAGTCCCCAACCCCATCACATCCACCCCAAGCTTTGCCCCTTCCGAAGGTGGAGCTGACTAGTGACCTGTATCAAAATTCATTGTGTGCCCCCCAACCCCAAAATTATTGCCTAACCCTGTGCTAAATAAACCATCAAATTTTAGATCGAACTGTAGGGTTTTCACTTTCCTTTCCTTTCATTTTTAGATGTCTCTTCATTTTCTAATAGGTCTGCCTTGGCAACCTGAACACTTGTGTGACCATACATCAGAAAATATTGTTTGTAATTTATTAGCACACTACTCTTCAAAGTTGTATGATAGCAGTAGTAAAAGTACCATTTCCCTCTTTCCCCTATTTGGACTGAGACATCTAGTTTTAAAAAGTAGCCCAAGTCTACTTGTCATTTTCAAGCTGCTTTAATTTGTGCCAGTGAATAATAGCTTCCAAGGAGACCCACATTCAGCCCAGCATTTTATACCAGATGAGTTTCCTAGCATAAGGTAATTCTCAGCTGCTGCCTTAAGGCAATTTTCAGTCCCCTTTGTGCTGCTGGAGTGGCACAAATGGGATTTGGGAGGGGTAAAGATCTGCCTCCATGTCTTCAGAATTGCAGTAAACAACCTGACATCCTGTTCTAGGACTGAAGATTTTGTTTATCTTCAACAAGATTAGTGTCCCTGAATGAGTCCTAAGAATGGTACCACTCTCATAAGCCAATCTAGAAATACATTTGTTTTTCTTAACTCTGAGCTTCAGCTGGATGGAAAGTGTGTTTGTGGAGAGAGATTTATTCACTGCTATATGGGTGGCCTTGAATCCTACTTATCAAAGTTCCTTCAGAGAACTTGGACAGCTTCCTTAAAGACAGCAACCCAGTATAGTTACACAGAACTATATGATTAATTAGAAATTTGCAAATGCCTCCCCTCCCACAAATACACCCACCAATATTTGATTCCTTTTACTTGCATAGAAAATCTCAAACTAGGATCCTTACAGCTCCTAGCTATATGCATGGACACTGCTTTATCCTGATAGAGATAAGATATATCTGGTAAAACATTTTTTTTCCTAGGGGGTGACAGAGTGATATCATCACCGCACAGTCAGCCTATGGAACTCCTTGCCAGAGGATGTGGTGAAGGCTAGGACTTTAACAGGGTTCAAAAAAGAGCTATATGTGGTTAGGTCCATCAATGGCTGTTAGCCAGGATGGGTAGGAATGGCGGCTCTAGCCTCTGATTTTGTCTGGGTGACAGGAGAGGGATCGTGTGAGGATTACCTGTTGTGTTCCATCCCTCTGGGAAATCTGGTATTGGCCACTGTCAGCAGACAGGACACTGGGCTGGAGGGACTGTTGGTCTGACCTAGTATGGCCGTTCTTATGTCCCCCTGCCTTCTCCCTCTTTCCCCCCCTTCCTCCTCTCTGAGCCTGACCTCACTGTTTTCCCTCACCACTTGGAATTGCTATTTTAAACCAAGCCCCTACTCCCCTTCCTTCACCCCCACCCCACACATCTTTCAACACCAAGAAACATGGCACAGTAGCCAGCAAGACCCCACATTGCAGCCATGACCGCTCAGGGGCAGAAGGGGGGAGGGTACGGTGCTTAGGACAGCAGCCCTGGGCTCCCAGCTGCGCTTATGTGCAGCAGCAGACTCTTGAGGAACTGGAGCATGGTGCCCGACTGCCCGGAGTCCACCCCCACCCCACACATCTTTCAACACCAAGAAACATGGCACAGTAGCCAGCAAGACCCCACATTGCAGCCATGACCGCTCAGGGGCAGAAGGGGGGAGGGTACGGTGCTTAGGACAGCAGCCCTGGGCTCCCAGCTGCGCTTATGTGCAGCAGCAGACTCTTGAGGAACTGGAGCATGGTGCCCGACTGCCCGGAGTCCAGCTGCCTCTGCTGGGACTCAGGCTCGGCGGGCGGGGCTGGGGCAGTGAGCAGCGCAGGTGGGACCACGCAGGGGAGAGGTCAGGACAACAGCTGCCTCCCCCACCCCAGCAGGCTGCTGTGCCACGGAGCACTGCATGCACACAGCCAGGGGTAGAGCCGGCCTGGTACGCACTATGGCCGACAGAGGAGGGGCTATGGTTGGGGGGAGAGAGAGGGCTGGGCTGGCCGGGGGTTGGGGAGGGAGAAGGGACCTGGGCTGGCATGGCCGTAGCCCAGCCCTCCCAGGTGGCTGTGAAGAGAGCCAGGATTGCCTACCCCCTGCGAGATGGGGGTTGGCAAGTGCAGCGAGCAAGGGACACAGCCCCCTAGTAGCCTCCAAAAGTTTTTAAATTGATTGTGGATTGGAAGCTTTATGGGATGCTGTCTTGCTCCTTTCTGTGGCTTATCCTGTTCCCATCTGATTCACTTTGAGTCAGTGCTCAAATTAAGAAACAAGCTTTTACTGCATTAAAAGGGTCTAGAATTAATACCAAATGCATATCCCACTGTGCTGCCAATTCTTATCCAAGTCTTTCCAGGATTTCACTGATGGGGCTAAGTACGCATGCGCATATACTCTGACTTGTAATGGTTTGTATGTTCAATACTTATTCATACATATGTAGGAAAAAGAAAACCTAACTGAATACAAATTCCACAACTCCTCCAACCCACACTTGCTGTGACCAAAGAAAAAGATTGTTGAACATAATTTTTTTATCTCTGTGTTGCTAAGAGGTGTCTCTTGCTCCTACCTCCGAGGACAATGTTTCCAGTTTTGCCCTCAGTTGGACAACTGTTCCTGCCTTTCTTTTTCTTAACTTTTATTATGAAAACAGCTTCTGTTAAAACCAAAATGTATTTTTTAACAGCTCAATTCTAGAGAAGGAGTTAAAATCTGAAAAAGAACAGAGACAGACTCTGCAAGGCGAGCTACATCAAGAGAAGGATACTACTAGTCTGCTAAAAACAGAACTGCAACAAATGGAAGGGTTGAAAAAGGTAAGTATTTTGGGCTCATGGTGAGTGGTTTGGAATAGGGATGTTAAATATCGGTTAATTGAATAGTCGGGTAACCTCATGAAACTTTAACGGTTAGTCGACTGTTCTCTAGTCCCCGGGGGTGGGGCTGGCAGCCAGTGTATCAGAGGCAGCAGCGCGGGTTGTCAGGTGGGAGCTGGTCCCATGAGGGGAGCCAGTTTAAAAAACAGCTTCCCTTGCAGACCATCTGCCTGTTGGCTTATGCTGCTGCTTCTGAGAGAAAGGCAACAGCACAGTGTGGCAGCTGTGCCTGTCTAGGGTAGGTGTGTGCTCCCAGATCCAACATGAGCTGGAACTGAGCTGTGCTGTCTGCCTGCCTGGCTCTTAATACATTTGAAATGCAGAGCTGCAGCAGGGATAGGTCCCGGACACAGCACCAACCAGGACTGAGCCAGGCTGCTGGCCAGCCTGCTAAAAAGTTTCCTGGCAGGAAGAGGGGAATGCTTATAGTCTATACCATTAACCTATAAGATTTTGCTTATTGGTTAATTGACTACACTATTACATCTGTAGTTTGGAAATGAAGTCAACAGAAGCTGTGCAAAATTTTCCCACCTTGCCTTGAATAACTAGTTAATGTCTATAGACTTCCCCAGATTGCCCACTTGCTAAAGTTGTTACTGGAAAATGCCCAACAACTCAACTTACTTTGTGCAGGAAAACGCAGATAAGAGGAGTTTAGGGTCACTTAGGCCATGTCTACACTAGGAAATTATTTCGAAATTACTAATTTCAATTAACTCCTGATTTAACAAAATCAAACTAGTGTGTCCTCGCTACAGGGAAGCATCAAAATTAGTCCAAGGCAGGCTCCATTAATGTGGACATGCTACCTTGGACTTGGAGCCCAAGGAAGCACGGGGGAGTAATTAGTTTGACATAGCGACACCAGAGAGTCCACACTATATCGTTATTTTTAAATAACTGGTTTGGAATTAGTGTTATTCCTCATGAAAAGCAGAGGTACAGATTTTGAATTCCATGGCCTGTTATTTCAAAACTAACCAATTAGCCCGTCAAAAGATGGGATTTTCAGGTCTTCTCTCCTGAGCGCTCGTCCGCTCTCTCTCTCTCCTCCCCTCCCTACTGCCTCCCCCCGCTCAGCTCTCCTCTGCCTCCTGCTTCTCTCTCTCCATCTTTTTCTCTTCTCCCCCTCCTGCCTTTCACTCTCCCTTTCTCTTCTCCTCCTCCTCCTCCTCCCCTCCGTCTCTCCCTACCCCCCTTTCCCTTCCCCTTCCCCCCCACCGTGGCGCTTGGCTGAGGGCTGCCTGCTCATCCGGGCTGCCGCGACGGAGGGGGGGTGGGGCGGTGACGTACACGGCTGGGGCCAGGGCCGTGTACATCACCGCCCTCCCACCCCGGGGCAGCCCAAACAGCCCCTTGTGCTGCTGGCTCCCCCGGCGACCTGGCTGAGGGGCGCAGCACTCAGCTGAGTGCCACAGGAGGAGGGAAAGGGGGGAGGTGACATACTGGCCTCGCCCCCTGGCTGTGTACGTCACCGCCCCGCTCCCTTCCCCTCCCTCCGTGGCGGCTCGGCTGAGTGTTGTGCGCTCAGCCGGGCCGCCACGGGGGAGGAGGGGCAGGGCAGTGACATACACAGTCAGGGGGCGGGGGTGTCTGTGTCACCGCCCCCCCCCTCCCCTCTCCCCCGGCAGGCCGGGCGGGGGGGGCCCCTTCTCGCTGGAACCCTTAGGCAGAGATCAGTTCACGTTTTAGAAAGCCAGCTGCTCTCTACTCCAGAAGGCTGGGGAGGAAGGAAGGAGACTTCTCATGCTGTTCCCCAGCAAAATCTCTCAGTTGCTATTGGCCAATCTCTCAGCTTCATCCCAAAATCCTGCATCCCAGTCCCCTGCCCTAGGTTACAGGGGCCTCCTTCACCCAACCCCCCTCCCAGAACTCATTTTCCCTCCTGCACCCAATCCCTTACCCCAAGCTCTCTTCTGCACCCAACTTCCATCCTAGACCTTGCACCTCCTCCATTAATATCCTGGAATAGTGTGACCCTGAATCACTTTCCAAAATCTTGGAGTGGCCTCCCATCAAAAATTATTGCCCACCTCTGAGTTAGTGTGTTAATTACAGGAACTGCGAAAATTGCAAGAAGAGAAGCAGCAGTTAGAGAAGATCTGTGGAGAACAGGAACAAGCTCTACAAGAAATGGGACTACACCTTAGCCAGTAAGTTCTGACAACTCAAACTATGTAACTAAATGAGGTTGGGGTTTCAAACTCAATAACATATGCTACAGTTAATGAGCATCCCAGTTATATAAATCAGATGTGTGAATTTTAGAAAGTAAGTATGGAAAAAGTATACACAGATTTTGGGCAACCTATGTTTTTTGGGTTTTTTATAATTCACTTCAATAGTACTACTTGCACAAATAAGGATTGTGGGTTTGGGACCTTCCCCCAATTTTTGGGTTTTTTATACTTGCACAAATAAGGATTGTGGGTTTGGGACCTTCCCCCACCCCCCCTTCCTGTAGTAGTTCCATCTGAACTGCTACATTTTATCTATAAAGTAGTCCTTATCTGATGTTAACATTGGAGCTAACTTCTTAAATTATTTTCCAGATCCAAACTGAAGATGGAAGATATTAAAGAAGTAAATAAAGCACTAAAGGTAATATACACTTTTTGAAAATGTAAATTAAGTATTATACATATTTTATTTTACGTGACCTCATGCTGAAAGTAATTCTTAAAATTGAGCAGTTATGGCTGTGGTAAATTACAAGTGTTGCAACCTAAACCAGTTTCAACTTCATATCTTTTCTCCAAGTAATTCATAACTGAATGGATCTTTCTTGCATATGTGATTGTTTTGTTTTAGGGTCATACCTGGCTAAAAGATGATGAAGCAACCCACTGTAAACAATGTGAGAAGGAGTTCTCCATTTCAAGAAGAAAGGTAGTGGTTTTCAGTAGATAATCTAGGAAGAATACCTTGGTGGTGGGGGTTTTTTTTGTTTGTTTTTTGTTAAAGCAGTAAATGAAAGAGAATTATAACTTGGTGCATCTCCCTTCTAATGTAGCCCAGCTCATTTGCCAGGGGGAAAAAGTATTATTTAAAAGTCTCTAATTCCACATCTTGTCATACATCCCTAACTAGAGAAAATAGATGTTACTGAGTAATAATCTACCCCTTTAATATGATGGGAGAGGGAGAACAAGTTCTTTAAAAATGTTAGAAACTGAATGTGTTTGTAAAAAAAAAAAAAAAAAACTGATTTTTTTTTTTTTTTCATAAATCCGAATTTTGCGTGTGCTTTCGAGGCTGTTGCTTGATATCAGGAATTTGTAGTTTTCTGTGAGCATGATACACTGCCCTTGGAAAAACTAAGTTCAGTTCCCATTGTGGCTTCCTTTTCTAAGCAGCAAGAAGTGAAAGTGCTAAAAGTCAGTTTTTTAATCTTCTGAAAGAATAATAAATGCCTCAAGATACACAAATAGGCGCTTCTGGCTAAGCGGCTGTAAAGATAGCCTCCAGATTGAAGGCTGTATAGTCTCTCTCAGTGGAAGGAAGTGGGCCCTTAATTTGGGGAGGAAGCAGTGGATGGTGCCAGCAGGAGCTTATCACATCTTGCTAATTGCATGCTGAAGTTAAAGGTTAAACTGCACATTTATGCTTACTCAACCTTTATTATGTTTTAAACTGTCTTGTAGCATCACTGTAGAAACTGTGGTGACATCTTTTGCAACACTTGTTCCAGTAATGAACTTGCACTGCCATCCTACCCTAAACCTGTGCGTGTTTGTGATACATGTCATACTTTACTGCTTCAGAGATGTTCATCTAATGCTTCCTAATGCTTCAGTTGTTTCAAGAGGACCATTTGAATCCTGGAGAAGGAGCCATGTTGGTTTTTAAACTCTGAATTCCAATACCCCGTTTAGACTTCAACACTTCCCATTCTAAAACTGGTCAAGTAATTTAAAAGATCTAATGGTATTTATGGGAATTAGAAAGCTAATGTTTTGCTAATATATTTCATAATGAAATCAAGTAGGAGAAATTTAAAAAAATCATAGAAAATATGCTCAACCTGCTGAAACTGAGGTGAAAATTCACGTTTCTGAGTTTTATAAAAAACTATTTTCTTTATTTAAACTTTGTACTTCACATTTGTACATCTGACTGATTTCTCTTAAAAAAAAAATCACCTTTCTTTCTCTCCCCCCCTCTCCCCCCTCCCCCGCACACAGTAACTCCCTGGTTCTACTGTAACTACTCACTTTTAATATACTCCACATTATATTATGTTAGTTATGTACAGTTTTGTATGTGGTCAAAGTAAGTTGAACATGAAAAGAGTCAGCCTTCCACAGTTTGTCTACGAAAAAAAGCTTTAGAATGCAAGTGTATAAATGAATGTGCCTTCACAATATACGTATATAGACTATATTTGTTTCTAAAGCACTTATGAATAAAATAGTGATTATGCAATAAAGTCTTTGTTAAACTATGAAAATGAACTTAGTCTTCACACTGTTTGGGTTTTTTTTAAATAAATAGCAATAAGTAAAATAAAAAAATCTTTAAAAATTTTATTTTGCAAAAAAAATACTCCTTGTAGACATCTGGATGTCTTGCAAACCAGTGTCTCCCCTCTCAGCTGTTGCGCAGGGGCATGTGCTCCTTCCAATTGTCTCATGCACCCCCTCTGCACAACAGCTGAGAGGGGAGACACAAGGTTCACAAGACATCTGAGGGAGCGCATGCGCAGCGTGTTCAAATGCCCACGCAACAGCTGAGAGGGGAGACGCCTGGCATGCCATGATGTCACATGCTGGGACTTTAAATTTTAAAACCATGTGGCCCAGCTCCAGGCCTGGCACATGGTCTGGGATCACGGAAGCAGCTGGGGCTGGGCCTGATCACAGACTCAAACTGGAAGACAGAAGGTGGGGGGGGGGGAAGGGGAAACAATAGGAGGAAGAGGTCAGTGGGGAAGGGGCTTGTGCTGGGGGGGCCAACACAGAAGAAGAAAAGGGAAGGCACCAAGGAACAGGGTGGAGGAGAGACAAATGCCAGGGGGCCAAGGGGGGGCAAGTCAGGAGAATAAAGGGAAAGGCACCAAGGGACAGGGTGGAGGAGAGACAAATGCCAAGGGCGCCAAGTGGAGACAATGAGGAAAAGGGCAGTAGGGGAGGTGTCCGTGGGAGTGGGGACAGGGTGATGCTGGGAGAGGAGAGGGTAAGGGCATTGGGGGCTGGAGGGGGAGTTGCTGGGATAAGGCTTGAAAGAAGGGGGTGGGCATGAGGAAGGTGGGAATGGAGCAAATTATTTGTGAGGGAACAGGGGCATCAGGGAAAAAGAGGGCAAAGGGGCAGTGAGGGAAGGGGGGCACCAGGAGGGTGCAGTTGCCAGGGGATTCTGGGGGTGAAGCAGAAGGGCAGACACCTGCAGGGGAGGGACCAGCACCAGAGGAGAGAGGCAGGGCAGGTGTGTAGAGGGAGGTGTTAGGAAAGGGGATAGCTCACATGATCAGAGTGGAGCTACTGGAGGAGTAGGCACAAGGGGGAGAGAAGGGCTGGTGGAGGGGGGCAGGACTCCGGGCAGTGAGAAGTGCAGGAGTCAGGACAGCAGAGGAGCGAGAGAGGTTGGGGAGCAGCAGGCACCAGGGGAGCTGATGGAGTAAGGGGAGGAGACAGCAGGTGGTGGGGAAGGGGAGTGTGAGATTTAAAGGTGCCATGATTTTGGTGGGGGAGGGTGCTTTTTTTGCTCAATATTTGAACATCCACCCTTTTTATTAATGCAGAGTTTTATGTAATACAAAAACCATCATATTTAATATTATTTAATGTACAAATACAAACTAAGCCATGAAAAATTGTTGGCGTCCGCTACACTCTTCTGAAAACTTGAATGTGCTATTGGCCACAAAAAGGTTAGGGACCACTGCTGTAAAGGGTCTCTCAAAGCATTATGTGGAGGGAAATGGGGAAATTGCAGATTGGATGCCACTGCTCCTATAACCTGTGTAGAGACTCTATAAGGTCAGGAGGTATTATCATGATCAGCTAATCTGATCTCCTGCCCATTGCAGGTCACAGAACCTCACCCACTCAGTCCTGTAACTTAACCTCTGGCTGAGCGGTTGAAGTCCTTAAATCATTGTTTAAAGTTCCAGAGAATCCACCATTTTCAACCTGCAAGTAGCCTGAGCCTCATGTTGCAGAAGAATAAGAAAAGACCACCGGAGTCTCTGCTAATCAAACTCAGGGGAAGATTCCTTCCCACCCCCAAATGTGATTTTGTTAGACATTGAGCCTGTGGGCAAGACCTACCAGCTGGACACTGGCAAAGAATTCTCTGTGGTAATCAGAACCCTCCCCATCAGAACCATAGCAGCCAGTGGAGATATTTTCTGCTAACAGTTGCACGTCAGCTACATGCCATTGCAAGCAGTCTTGTTATACTATAAGCTTAACTAACTCCTTTGTCTGCCCAGGGGTTGTCCCTCTGATATATTTCCAGAAAGTAATCCTGGTTCCCTTCAGTCTTCTTCAGGTTAAGCTACATAAGCCAAGCTCATTTTGAGTGGCTTTTCATAAAATCTGTTTTCTATTCCTCAGTTTATCCTAGTAGCCCTTCTCTGCAACTATTCCAAGTTGAACTCATCTTTTTTAAATATGGGAGACCAGAACTACACACAGTATTCCACATGAGGTCTTGCTAGTGCCATGTATAATGGCACTAACACTTCCCTGTTTCTAATTAAAATATTTCACCTGATGCCCTGCATTAGCCTTTTTCACAGCTGCATCACATTGGCAGTTCATAGTTCTCCTGTGATCAATCAATAGACTCACGACTTTCTCTCCCTCTCACTTCCAATGTTATGTCCCCAGCTTATATCATAACATGTTAGGCCCTCAATGCTTGCCCTTGCCCTTCACACTGTTAAATTTCATCCAATTTCTATTACTCCAGTTTACAAGGTCATCCAATTTTCTTATATGATATTCTGGACCTGCTCTGAGTTGGCTAAGCCTCCCTGCTTTTATCATTTGCAATTTTTATTACACTCCAACTTCTTGTGCCAAGATCAACAATAAACACGTTAAATAAGGTTGGTCCCAAGATCAATCCCTGAGGAGTTCCGCCAGTAACTTCTCTCCAGCTTGATCAGTCACCTTTTAGCATGACCCATTGTAATCTCCCTTTTAACCAGTTCCTTACCCACCATTCAGTTTTCTTATTAATCCCTATCTTCTCCAATGTAACTAATAGTTCCCCATGTGGATGTGTATTAAATGCCTTACTGAACTCCTGGCACATTTTCAAAGTGATCAGGATTGTTTGATTTAGTCTATTGTTGATATGTTGTAGTTTATACCAATTATAGTTTGTGGTCAGAAGTCAGGACACCACACCGGTGACAAATATCTCACACGGTCCAGTGCTGTCAGTTGTATGTGCTGCATTGGCTCTGTGCAGGTAGCCAATATAGCAAATGCCAAAAGAGCCCCCCAAAAACCATAAAATAAGGATCAAAGGCACCAGGTTTATTGTCAAATAAATGTAAGTAAATAGTTGTCAGCAGACTCTTTTGAACTACTATACCCATGTACCCCTGACAATGGACTCCACTCAGTCCGATGGAGGAAAGACAGCCTCTCCAAGGCACATCTTTATACACAGGTATAAACAAGTTACACATCACTCCTGACATATCAGCTTGCTTCCTTTTGAGGTTACCTAAATACTACCCATCACCTTACACCTGGTACAGGCAGTCCCCGACTTACGTCGGATCCGCACTTACGAACGGGGCTTTCTTGCCCCGGAGGTCGAGGTAGCGGATTGCTACCTGCGAGCTCTGGGGCCAGAGAGCCCCGTTCGTAAGCTGCTCCGGTGCCCCTGGTCTGCTGGAGACCGTCTCCAGCAGACCAGGGGC